ACTTAGGCTGTAGTCTCATTGCATTTGACCACATGAATGCTTTCATAGAAAAAATATACAGTGACACACATTATCATCTTTGTGCTAAAAGGCATTCACATGTATCATCTAGGGTTTTTTTTTCCTCTTTCTATGAATAAATAATGCAGTGGGAAAAATTTATCTTGGGTTATTGGAGAGTAATTTGCTCTATAAATCTGAACTGTTCTTACAGAAGCATTCAAAACTGAAAGCTGCATTTATTTCTTTTATTTTATGAAAAATCACTTCCCTCTCCCAAACTGAGTGTACTGTTAAGTAATACAATTTTGTAACTTCCAGATATATGGTGTCAAAGAGCCAATTGGTTTAGGTGTAAAATTTAAAAAGACTTAAGAAAAAGGCCAGCAGTTTTCTCTCACTAGATAAATCTTCAGTAACATGTCTCCCTTGAGAATATCTAATGAATATCCCACAGTAGATAAAATTGAGCTCCAAAGCACCAATCTATCAAGTAATAATCAGTTTATCTACACTTCTTCACAAAGCCAAAACAAGTTAGAATTCAGAAATTTTTGTTGCCAACCTCAGAAATGAGAGATATTGACCTATTGTACTTGCTCTCTAAGTGTCTAAGCACTCAGTGACTCTACTTGCCATTATAAAAGGTAAAACTCAGTTTTCTACCTCTTTCTGTGTTCCTTTTTCCTGTATGTGTTTACTGTTCAACATGGAATACTTCACTTCTGGTACTTCTAGTCACAAAATGTGTGGAAGGTATTTTTCTAGACTAAGCAATTCTCTGTGTGAGACACCAGCTGGATATGCTACAATTCAGCTCAGTTCTGACACTAACTATCCAGGGATAGCATTAGATTTCTTAAGTTAAATCCTCAGTCCTACAAGACAATACCCCCCCCCCCAACTTTAGACAGCAATAGTAAACACAAGTTATTATCTGTTCTTCTGAATGACCAGCTACAGATTGGAGGTTCTTCCTCCTCAGGCTCCAATTAATTTGCTAGAGCAGCTCACAGAACTCAGTGACACACTTACTTACCTTTACTAGTTTATTAAAGGATATGATAAAGGATCTTCTGAACATCCCATTGAGAGAGACGTGAAGAACAAGATATGTGGGAAGAGAACAGAGCTTCCATGTCCTTCCCAGGCATACCACTCTCTCAGCACTTCTGCTTGCTCACCAACCTAATCATGCTTAAGTTTCTATTGAGGTTTCATCACATAAACATGACTGATTATTAACTCCATTTTCAACCCTTATCTTTTCTCAAGAAAATGGAGGTGAGAGTGAGGCTGAAAATTACAGGCTTCCAATCATAGCTTGGTCTTTCAGGTGACAAGATCTCACTCAAGAGCCATCCAGAAGCCCACTCAGAGTTACCTCATTAGAACAAAAGACCGTCTTACTACTCAACAAATTAGAAGGCTTTCAGGAGCTCTGTGTCAGGAACCAGGGTCAGAGACCAAATATTGAAACAAACAAACCAAAAAATGTTTCTAGTGTTCTTATGTTTAGGAATTTGCAAGGGTTTTAGAATCTTTGTGCAAGGCCCCAGGGGTAGATTTGAATATATATATTTCTTATTACAAATCACAATATCACAGCCATGATTACTGAAATTTTCATCATTAGTGGAACACCAATACAGCACTCACTATTTAGAAATTGTGAGAAGGGGAACACAGTTACTTATTATTTTATCTTAATATTTTATTCAAACTTGCCTTATTAGACACTTAAATATTAAAATGGAATGTCATGGGAGTAATCTTGGTAAAAAGTGGGAATTTAGAAAGGAACATATCCTGAATTGTTCCATGAACTTCTAGAGCATGGAAGGAATATTGTGGGTGTATTATGAGCCAGAGTGCACCAAACACTTGAAGAACTGTATGTCTTTGATTCAATGGTGAAGTGTAAAACCCAAGCAGAAAGTGAGATGGTGCAAAACACATAGTGTACCATCATGTATAACTCATAAAATGTGATTAAACATGCATTTTGCCTCTATGGCCTTCCACTCAAAAAACTATAACCTCAGTCTAATCATAAGAAAAACACCAGATAAATCTCAATTGAGGGACATTCTATACAAAATATCACACCAGTATTCCTCAGAACTGTCGAGGTCATCATTAACTTGGAGAGTCTGGGAAATGGTCACAGTATAGAGGAGCCTAAAGAGACATGGCTACTAAATGTAATGCAAAATTCTTGATGGGATTCTGAAACAGGGAAAAAGACATTAACAAAAAACTTAAGAAAACTGAATAAACTATGGGTTTTGTTGTTGTTGCTCACTCACTCAGTCATGTCCAACTCCTTGAGAGCCCATGGACTGCAGCAAGACAGGCTTCCCAGCCCACTAACTCCTGGAGTTTGCTCAAACTCACGTCCATTGAGTCAACTTTAGTTGATAATAATATTGGCACCAATATTGGCACATTAATTGCAACAAGTATATCATGTTAACAATAGGAGAAACTGGGACATGAGCATTTGGGTACTGTTTTATCTTTGCAGTTGTTCTGTAAATCTGAAACTCTTCAAAACTGTTTTTGAAGAAAATGTACTACTAGTAGATCTCTAAGTTATGCACACTGTTCACAGTGCTAAGCTTCCATTTATGCTTGTCTTTCTTTATTTATTTTTTACTTCTGTTTTCCCCAATCAACTTTAGAATATTTTGATAGACAAGAATGGAATTAAGTTTGTGTACAGGTTAAGTTTTTGCTGTGTTTATGCAGCTGTAGAATCTCAGATACTTGAAATGGCTATGGACTTTGTAACTCAACTTACAGAAATTAAACTCTGTACCTACTTGACCATTTCACAGTTGTGTTTTGTTGGTTGAAGCCATTTCCATTACACCATTAACAACTTATTTTATAAATCAATGTGACCAATTCTGACAATAAAAGCAACAAGCTCAATAATGGTTTTAATCAAACTAAGTATTAGCTCACAATATTTTTATTTGTTGAAATATACATTTTTAATTTTTTTTTCCTTTAGAACACTTTTCCCCCCATTCACAGAGTGTGTATTCAGCATATTCACTTTTTCATGTTTTTAGAGTTCCTGTCAAGGTTATTATGATAATGTATATTTCTAACCTGGTAATTTCTAATCTACATATTACTCACTATAGCTTGTGTTGTTTTTTTTTTTCCCCAAATGGCTGGAGTCAAGCTGAGAAATACCACAAATTAACCTACACATATATTATACTTCTAAAATTCCAATCTTCTTTTGCAGAAATTAAAGTTTTGCTTGAATTAAATGTTTGTTTTTAATTCCTTCATCAGCTAACCTTTAGTGCAGGTGTGCCTGCTAAGTTGCTTCAGTCCTATTTGACTCTTTGCAACCCATAAACTGTAGGCTGTCAGGCTCCCCTCTCCATGGCATTTCCCAGGCAAGAATACTGGAGTGAAGTGCAAATCAAAACTACAATGAGGTACCATCTCACGCCAGTCAGAATGGCTGCAATCAAAAAATTTACAAACAAGAAATGCTAGAGAGGTTGCGGAGAAAAGGGAACCCTCTTACACTGTTTGTGGGAATGCAAACTAGTACAGCCATTATGGAGAAGAGTGTGGAGATTCCTTTAAAAACTGGGAATAGAACTGCTATACGACTCAGCAATCCCATTGCTGGGCATACACACAGAGGAAACCAGAATTGAAAGACACGTGTACCCCAATGTTCATCACAGCACTGTTTACAATATCTAGGACATGGAAGCAACCTAGATGTCCATCAACAGACGAATGGATAAGAAAGCTGTGGTACATATCCACAATGGAATATTACCCAGCTTTAAAAAAAAATGCATTTGAATCAGTTCTAATGAGGTAGATGAAACTGGAGCCTATTATACAAAATGAAGTAAGTCAGAAAGAAAAACATGAATACAGTATATTAACGCATATATATGGAATTTACACAGTTGGTAATGATGACTCTATATGTGAGACAGCAAAAGAAACTCTTGGACTCTGTGGGAGAAGATAACCTTGGGATGATTTGAGAGAATAGCATTGAAACATGTATATTACCATATGTGAACTAGATCACCAGTCCACGTTCAATGCATGAGACAGGGTGCTTAGGGCCAGTGTACTGGGATGACCCAGAAGGATGGGATGGAGAGGGAGGTGGGAGGGGGATTCAGGATGGGAGGCACATGTCCACCTGTGGCTGATTCTTGTTGATATATGGCGAAAGCCACTACAGTATTGTAAAGCAATTAGCCTCCAATTAAAAGAAATTAATTATATATATTTTTTAAAAAGAAAAATAATACTGAAGTGGGTTGTCATTTCCTTCTCCAGAAAATCTTTCTGACCCAGAGATCAAACCCGCATCTCCTGTATTGCAGGCGGAATCTTTACCTCTAAGCCACCTAAACTTTTGTAGGAATAAGCATATTAATATAGCACTTACAGAAAGATGGGTGAGAAAAGAAAGAAGACAAAAAGCACTAGATTATGTGCTCTGTTCAAACTTAAGGACTAATAAAAATGCCAAGTGCAATCAAGTATTTACTGACCTTGTGTAGCTTAAGAGGTTTCAAAGTACTGGGATTCTCTCCATTTCGCCAACATAAAAGTGAAGCCAAGAATGAAGTTATTTTGTTCCACAAATATTATCAACATTCTCCATTAGTTTCACTTGGATCCTCAAGGGTCGTGTACAGAAATCCAGAGGTGAAATTTACATTAAATAATAAATAAATAACTATATCTTAAGTTTGCCTTGAAAGATACAAAATAAATTTTCTAAAACAGTAAAATATCACTTACCAGCTTTGAAAAGTGGGTGAAATGATGTTTATTTCAAAAAACTAAATTGAAGGGACTCTGAGTAAACAAAAATTAAGCTAACTCATTGAAATGTTCCATCTAAAGGTATATTTTACCCTAGATAGATTTTAAGAACAATTTAGAATAAAATAAAGCCTTTGACTTTTAAATGAACACACATAATAAATATGTATTTTCATATTTCATAGCTTTATTAATACCTATAATAATGAATAAGAAAGCATGCAATACAGAATCTGATATCAAACAATACACATTTGCCACTGGACTACATACTGCCTTCCTATGCCATAAAATATCCAACCTTCTCACTTCCAAAGCATGGATAGAGCTGCTTTGAGATACTCTTCACTTTCCGATGCTGTATGATGTCACAGAGGAGGAATCTTCTCAAAATACAAACATAAATACATATTTCATGAAATTCCAAGTATTTTAAGCAGGGATAGCATAAATTCCACACATTTTATTTGTAAAAGTATCATATGCAATCACTGAACAATTGCCTTCATGTTTTTTGTGTTTTTTTTTTTTCTTTTCAATTGTGCACACACATTTTTCTGCGTGGCCTTCTCATTGTTATTTCTATTGATGTCAACTTGCACTGCTTTTAAAAATCATATTTACTGAAAAAGATATGGATGGTTAATATAAGAAAGTGACTATGAATGAATATTTTAAAGCCTCTGCATAAAATTCCTCTGGAGTGGTAATTGGTGTGTTAATGTAAAAAAATTTCCTCTTCAGATATAATTCAGCTTCTCTTGCTCCCATGTTTTCCAGGGAAATTGTGCCATTTGGAAATAGCCAAATTAGTATCTAATGATTGTGAGAAAAGTTGATCTAAATATAACTATTAATTTGATTGGGAACCAAATGTGAAAATATGAAACCAAATAGGAAAGAACAAGAGATGATAGCCATAGTGGCAAATATATATCAGAAGAGAATAAAAAGTTTAAATAAAAAGATATTTATATTCACAAATGTGGATTAGGAGATATTGCACATTCAGACTTAATATAAACAACAAAAAAATAATGCTGAAATATGTATGTGGGTAAAACTTAATTTTCCCATGACTGAAAAGGATCTTTGTTTTTGCTTGTGACATGACTGCATTTTTAGGATTGCAGAATTTGTGATATTTTGAGTTTATTTTTCTCCACTTTAACGAAAGTGTGTGACAAATATTTAAGAAGGCAGAGGCTCTTCATAAACTGTCACCAATACACAATAGCACTAATCATTTAACTATGACCTTTTTCTAACCAAATTTACATTACCAGAAACAAAATGTTAAATAATTAAATAAAACTACACAAAATGTACTCTCTAAACTTATCACATCATTTGTACCATATGTAAGTTTGTTTCTAATACACTGACACAATATTAGCTAAAACTTGAAGATAAGTTCAAGGGAAAAAGTGTGTATGCACTTAGCATATAAGATACATGGTGTTTGAATACATACTTACAAATGTGTTATATTATCATTATAGCTAGTAAATTTATGATCACATTGATTGTACATGGCCAAAAAATAGAACAAGTTTGATTGAACATATTATTACCATCTTTATCATTCAACTGTAAGTTTTTATAAGTAAATCAAATCTTACTTTTTCAAGGTAAATATTTTTGATTTATAGTAAAATAAGCTTATTTGGAGTTCTGGAACTAAATTTGGTGCATTAAAAATATCTGTGAGTTTTGTCAATCTATAGCTCTGTCCATCCACTCAAAGAAAGAGTTTGCAATGTGATGAGAAATATCTCATTGGATCTGAAACCTTGGCAGTAACTGGTTGCCAAGGTCAGACCTAGTGGAAGCTTAGGAAGAGAATGCACAGGGGAGAAAAACTGGGCTTACACCCCTTGCCTCTTTGGCTACTTTGAGCCTGCTTCCATTTAAAGTCTCTCTGGTACAAACCCAGAAGAGGGTGCCCAGTCATTTAATATTCTGAACACAATCTAAGTCTGATGGTATAATCAGAGATAGAAAGGGCAAGAAAGCATATTTGTTCATTCCTATATATCTAGGAAAGGTATCAACACTTCACAAATTTTATATGAGGATTTAAGAGCCACCCACATAACAAAATAGACCACACTATCAGGGAAAAAAATCTGACTTTAGTTTTATTCTGATTTTCATTAACATAGCTAGTAACTATTCATGCTACTGGCATTATTTAGTAGTCTTTTAATTTCTCCTTTTTAATCACTTTATTTATTTATTTGTGTGTGTAGATCTTAACTAAGAATGTAGAGAGGAAACTATAGGAATAACTAAAATAGAAGAGGAAGCACTCACATTAACTTTGCAAGTTTTAGAGAGAAAAGCATTCTAAAATCTACTGGAAGCACTGATTTTGTCATTCTGGGTTTTTTCATCTTCCCCAGATCTAAAATCTTCATCAACCACAGCAATGATAATACCAACACAAATATGTGGTCATATTTCAGTAAACTTTCAAACATCTTCAGTCCTTCAGGACTCACATGCTCCTAGAATACCAGAATGCTCCAAATCCCTTTGAATATTAACCAAAACAGAAGGGGAAGAAAAATCAGTAATATTAATTAATTTAAAATTTCAGTAATTAAACTCTAGTAGTTAAAAGTTAAGAAGTTTCACACACCAAATCAGACAAGATTTAAAGAGTTTCATAATGGAAATAATACAGTCTCAAAGTGCTATGTAGCCTGCTGGGCACATTAAGAGAAGCTTTCTCAACATTCACTGGAAACCTTCACCAATAAAACTATACATTTACCACAGTTTATAATACAACATGTACACACAGTTTAATCATAAATTATATATCTTTAACTTACACATTACAAAGTCTATATCTAATTTAATCAAGAAGAAATATTCACCCCCCATTCCAACTAAAACATCAATTGTCTCTTGATTTAGTGTAAAACTGAAATAAGACATTTTCTCAGTTTTGCTATGGAGGAAAATTAAGTTGATGGTGTTTCTGTAAATTGATGAAATGTGCACATAAAAGATCACGACCAGTTAAGAGGACAAAAAATAAAAGAAAGAATAGACAACAAAAGGAAACTAATGTTCCCTAGGATTACTCATGTATTCTTCGCTTAGAATGACGTATTTTGTTTCATATATGAGATTTTCTTGGGTTTGTGTGTGTGTGTGTGTGTGTGTTTGTGTGTGTGTTACTGGGGTATTTCTTCTCCACCCCAAGAAGCAGTCATGAACCTCATTTCTCCCTCTGCACATCTCCTTAAACTTCTATACTGTAACACATTTGATGTACATTTATAATTATGTCTCTTGAAAAGTTCCTTCCTTACTTTCATCTTGTTATCAGTGTTTTGCTTCAGTAGGTTGAGCTAGAATGATAAAAATCCCTTAGTCTTAAAGGTTTAGCATGTGGTTTTATCTACAGTTATATTTATTTGGATTAAGTGTTCAGTACATCCACCCTCTTTGTGATTTTCTAGTCTGTTATATACAGATTTCAGAAGATAAGGCCCAATCAATAATGAAATACAGGCTTATGATGACAGATGCCACATGATTTCTGATGCACTTTACACTAAACTACAAAGAAATTTAATAAAAAAAAGAAATAGGCCCTTTTTAGCAGTTAATTGCCTAATTTGGGCACAGTTATTGCACTTTAGTGTCTCGAACTCTACTGAAGAGTAGAGAAATAGGTTACTGACAGAAATCTATAGTTTTTCTAAGTTTTTTACTGAAAATTAATATAAAAAGTATATCAACAATATATCCTTAAAATAAAAGTAGAAAACATAAAAACAGAGACCAACAATATGAGATATTTATACTTCCTACTGTTCATGTTTGCAAAAAAATTAGTAACAAAAAAGTGGAGACAACAAGTATCAAACAAAAAGGCAAAATGTTACCATAATTACACCTTCTAATGTTGTCTAAACAAAAGTTTAGATGGAATAAAGGTACTCTTGGAAAATCATATATTTGCTAGTTTTCCATTGGCTACGTATTGAGTTCAGAAAAACCAGAATGGAAAACAATCAGTAATACTGCACATGCTGGTGAAAAGAAAAAATACAGTGCATCAGAAGTAATATATACTATCTTAATATCTGTCCTGATAAGACTTTCTGTACAAAGGGATGTGACTTTTTTTCAATTTTTCTTTTTAAGTACACATTCTAAATTAATCAAATTGTAAATTTATTTTTAACTTTTTTTTTTAATTTTTAACTTTTGACTAAGGGTCTAGCTCTAGACTTGTTTCTGGTATAGATTTCTATTTACATAGCTATTTACAAATCTAACAATTTGAAGTACTCACTGAAATTGGATTTCAAACTTTGATTATAAACATCTTGTTGGAAAATGTGAAGTAGCTGTTTTAGCTTTATTATGGATGTTCTTCCATAATTGGAGAATCATCCCTAGAGGGTCTAGCCTGTTGGCCTGTGGTGAAGGTTGTCAAGGGAATGACTTTAATCGAATCATCACTGGGATGAAGTCTTTCAGACATGGCATAAAACTGAGATCTTGTACTACCTTGTGCTCCTCGGTCAAGAGAAAGTAGTCCTTCAGGGCCAGCACCTTGCCCCCAGCCCTGCTGCAGACCCATTGGTGGTTGTGCAGGGCTGCGGTGAAGGGCAGCAGGCTGTGGCAGAGGAGGGCTGCAGTGGATGGTAGCAGCCTGTGCCAGGGGAGGGCTGTAGTAAAGGGCTGAGGCCTGTGCTGGTGGAGGGCTGTGGCGAAGAGCCTGTGCTAGAGGTGGGCTGTGGTGGAGAGCAGAGGTCTGTGCTGGTGGAGGGCTGTGGCGAAGAGCCTGTGCTAGAGGTGGGCTGTGGTGGAGAGCAGAGGTCTGTGCTGGTGGAGGGCTGTGGCATAGTGCTATAGCCTGGCTCATTGGAGGGCTGTGGCAGAGAGCAACTGCCTGTGTCACCAGAGGGTTGCGTCGGCGAAGAGTTGTCTGCGTCAGGGGAGGGCTGTGGCATAGAGTGGAGGCCTGTGCCTGTGAAGGGCTGGAATGAGTCAGAGAAGCTGGCATCCAGCAGGCATCAGAGTGGCCCAAGATGAGACATTCTTGAGTGCAGTTGTCAGAGGCCTCTTCCAGAGTAGGTTGAATAGCTATTTCTGCAGCTGTTAAGGTGGGAAACAAACGATAAAGTTTATGTTTCAAAAGCATGCGTTTATTAGCTACTTAAATCATATTGTTACAAGAATGCTTAATTATATATAAATACATCAGAGGCTTCTATTATTTTCATAATTGGCACTCAACTTGTCACAAAGTAATTCCTACAATAATATAAATAATCAGGAGTGGGTGGATGGCATTTCATTTTTATAATTAGGATACTTTGGCTTAGTCTCCCAAATGTAGATATTTTAAATTGTGTTTATGACTGTGAATGGAAGCTGTGGTCATTGATCTGTACACCCAAATCTGTTGAAATATGGTCCTGACTAACAGAAAAGGTTGACATGAGTGAAATGAATGGAAAAACCAGTACAGAAACATGTAATGAACTAACCAATTATAGCTAACAATTTGGTTAAGAACAGAATTAATTAATCTGAGAATAGATCTAAGAATAAATTAGGTTAATTTGGAAACAATTTATTGAACTCTAAGATATGCCTTTCAGTTTCAGGAATGAAATGTAGCTATAATTATCTCAAAGACAATTGATTTCTGTATTCCTTATTTTCTGAAATTGTAGCAAATCAGAGTTTAGCAACATAAAGGATTACAGATCCAAAATACTTATCTCTAAACTATAAAACTTTTAAAAACTCCTTTATAAGGTTTCTGTAAAATTTTTAAATGCCAATAGGTATCAAATATCAATAAGTATACTACACAAAGACTAGCAAAGGAAAGACAGAGTAGCTATATCAATATAAAAATTGACTTTAGAGCAGAGTGCTATTAGCGATAGTGAAGAATAATATATCATAATTTTTTAAAAGGTTATTTCTCTAAGAAGACATAACAATCTTAAAAGTCAAAAATAGAAATTCATATTCCTGTAAATCCTTAACAGGATATAGGGTCCAGGTACTGTCATTATCCTATCATACTTAAAACCAAGGAATAAAATACATCAGAAATGCTTGTCACAGATAAGACTAATTTTCTCCATTAGATAACCATTTACTTTTCTTCACTTAGAAGACACTTAAAAAATGTCCCTATGAGATTAACATTTAAAATATTCTATATTTTTGCACAGTTCTATTTTAGAAATATTTGAGAAGGTAAGTTTTATGTATTTGGAGTGATATTAAATCATAAAAGCATGCAAGGAAATATACAAACACACACATAATTATATTTTACTTACTTGCCATCAGAAAAGCAACTGATCTGGCAGCCTTAAATTTTACAACAAAAGAATATATCATAGTTTCAGCATTGAGTTATTTGCCTCTTTATGATGAGGAAATAGATACTAAGTCATTTTCACTGAAATCTGTAATTTATAGAAATTCCTTTTTTAAGAGTTTTATTGAGATATAATTCACATGCCATAAAATCCACTCATTTAAAGTGAATAATTCAATAATGTTTAGTCATAGAGTTGTGCCACTGGCATCACAATCAATTTTGAGACATCCTTATCACTACAAAAAGAAACTTGGTATTCATTAGCATTCACTGACCACTTCTCCACATACTCCACAGCCCTAAACAACCATATCAAACTTCACAGACTTAAGCAACCATTAATCTACCCTTTTCTTCTATAGATTTTCCTATTCTAGACATGTAATATTAATGGAATCCTTTCAGTGAAGTATTTTGAGACTGGCTTGATTAATTTAGCATAATGTTTTTAAGGTTACTCCATGTTGTAACATGTGTCAGTACTTCAATTATTTTTTTTTGCTCAAGATTATACTTTGCATGATTATGCCACATTTTATTTATCCATTCATCAATTGGTGGACATTTCAGTTGTTTTGACTTTTCAACTGTGATGAGTAATGTTGTTATGAATATCGTTTAAAAGTTGTTGTGTAGACACAGTTATTCATTTCTTTTGGGAATATACCTATGTATGGAGTTGCCTATGTATGGAATTAGCTATGTATGGAGTTTAATGTGAAGAACTGCCAAACTCTTTTCCACATTGACCACACAATTTTACATTACCACCAGAAATATATTAAGGTTCCAATTCCTCCACACAGTTTCTGAATTTCAAAAATTCAGTTTGGATTTTGCAAATTTTGATAGGATTATATTGAATCTGAAAATCAGTTAATGATTTTAACAGTATTAAGACTTAAGACTTTAACAGTGTTAAGTCTTCCTGTCACTGAATATGGAATGTCTTTCCACTTATTTTATACTTTTAATTTCTTTCAGTATGTATGTATGTGTTAGTCACCCAAAACTCTAAATAAAAAGTGAAAATCTAAATTGAATGTTTCAAATACTTTTACTATCCATTTAACCATATTAAACCAAACTCCTAACTGTCAATCCATTGTGCCCTGGGCTGTGCTAAGTCACTTCAGTTGTATCTTACTCTTTGTGACCCTATGGACTATCCCACCAGGTTCCTCTGTCCATGGGATTTCCCAGGTAAGAATACTGGAGTGGGTAGACATTTCTTCCTCCAGGGGACCTTCCTTACCCAGGGATTGAACCTGAGTCTCCCACACTGCAGGCAGATTCTTTAATTTATTTCAGTAGTTATTTCAAGTTTTGCAGAGTAAAAACTTCACATTTCCTTTGTTGAATTTGCTCCTAAGTATTTTATTCCACCATAAATGGCAGTGTTTTCTTAATTTCTTTTTTTGGAATGTTTATTGCTAAAATATAGAAGTACAATTGATTTTTATATATTGCTTTTCAAGCCTGTAAACTTCTCAGCTTGATTATTAGTCTGAATAGGTTTTTAGTGGATTTCATAAGATTTACTGTATACAACATTTGCTCAATATTACCTGGCAGCCTGGATGGGTGGAGTGTTCAGGGGAGAATGGATACATATATATGTATGGCTGAGTCACTCTGCTGTGCACCTGAAACTATCACAACATTGCTAATCAGCTACACTCCAATATAAAATTATTTTTTTTAAAGAATGAAAGAGCAAGGAGCAAAGTATAAATGTTCTTTTGAAAATGAAGCAAGAATGCAAATGGTTGCCTCTGTCCGTTTGCTCTGGCATCAATCTGGGCAGTGCAAACCAGGGACCATGAGTGGAAAAAGATAAATAAGTACTTCATCAAGATGAAGGTAGAAGAAATAGTAATAGTTCATAAAGGGGGAAACCAAAGACAATAGAGTTTGAGTGCATTATCCAACATCACAGAGCCAAGAAATTCCAGAGTCAAGATTCACCTCTGGTTCAGTTTAATTGCAAAGTCTCTCAATTCCTGCTATTCAGAAATTGTTAATGTTTCATTTTCCCTCCTATATTTATTTTACACATTTAAGGTAGAGAGTCGAATTGTGCAGTAGTTTGAGCATTCTTTGACACTGTCTTTCTTTGGGATTGGAATGAAAACTGACCTTTTCCAGTCCTGTGGTCACTGCTGAGTTTTTCAAATTTGCTGCCATATTAAGTGCACCACTTTCACAGCATCATCTTTGAGGATTTTAAATAGCTCAACTGGAATTCCATCACCTCCATTAGCTTTGTTCCTAGTGATGCTTTTGAAGGCCCACTTGACTTCACATTCCAGGATGTCTAGCTCTAGGTGAGTGATCACACCACTGTGGTTATCTGGGTTGTGAAGATCTTTTTTGTATAGTTCTTCTGTGTATTCTTGCTGCCTCTTCTTCATCTCTTCTGCTTCTATTAGGTCCATGCCATTTCTGTCCTTTATTGTGCCAACCTTTGCATGAAATGTTCCCTTTGTGTCTCTAATTTTCTTGAAGAAATCTCTAGCCTTTCCCATTCTATTGTTTTCTTCTATTTCTTTGCATTGAGCACTGAGGAAGGCTTTTTTTTTTTTTAATCCCTCCTTAATAGTCTTTGGAACTCTGCATTCAAACGGGTATATCTTTCCTATTCTCCTTTGCCTTTCACTTCTCTTCTTTTCACAGCTATTTGTAAGGCCTCCTCAGACAACCATTTTGCCTTTTTGAATTCCTTTCTCTTGGAGATGGTCTTGATCCCTGCCGCCTCTGTCAAAAGGACAGATGTCAAAAACCTCTGTCCATAGTTCTTCAGGCACTCTCTCTATCAGATTTAATCCCTTAAATAGATTTCTCCCTTCCACTGTATAACTGTAGGGGATTTGATTTAGGTCATACCTTAATGGTCTAGTGGTTTTCCCTACTTTCTTCAATTTAAGTCTGAATTTGGCAAAAAGGAGTTCACGATCTAAACCACAGTCAGCTCCTGGTCTTGTTTTTTCTTCTGTATAGAGTTTCTCCATCAGGCTTCAACAGTATGTGAACCCTGAATGTCCAGATATTCAAGCTGGATTTAGAAAAGGCAGAGGAACCAGATATCAAGTTGCCAACATCCGTTGGATCATTGAAAAAGCAAGAGTTCCAGAGAAACATCTACTTCTGCTTTATTGGCTATGCCAACACCTTTGACAGTGTGGATCACAAAAAAACTGTGAGAAATTCTTAAAGAGATGGGAATAACAGACCACTTGACCTGCCTCCTAAGAAATCAGTATGCAGGTCAGGAAGCAAGAGTTAGAACTGGACATGGAAAAATAGACTGGTTGCAAATCAGGAAAGGAGTACGTCAAGGCTGTATATTGTCTCCCTGCTTATTTAACTTATATGCAGAGTACATCACGTGAAATACCCAGGTGGCTGAAACACAAGCTGGAATCAAGATGGCCAGGAGAAATATCAATAACCTCTGACATGCAGAAGGCACCACCCTTATGGCAGAAAGCGAAGAACTAGAGTGCCTCTTGATTAAGGCGAAAAAGGAGAGTGAAAAAATTGGCTTAAAACTCAACATTCACAAAACTAATATCATGGCATCTGGTCCCATCACTTCATGGCAAATAGATGGAGGAAAGAGTGGAAACAGTGACAGCCTTTATTTTGGGGGGTTCCAAAATCACTGCAGATGGTGGCTGCAACCATGGAATTAAAAGATGCTTGCTCCTTGGAAGAAAAGCTATGACCAACCTAGATAGCATATTAAAAAGCAGAGACATTAGTTTGTCAACAATGGTACATCTAGTCAAGGC